TCAGTGAATCCACATTGACATCACAGAAGATACTCCCTTCATCTCATCTGATCTGATGATCTTTAAATGCTGACAAGAGTACTGCATCATCCCACACTCCCACAATTACTCAGCACCTTCTATGCTGTTTTCCTGCTTCTCTGGAGAGCTTTAACTAATGATACAATCCACTTTTGCGAGCCATTTTAATAGTAATCAGTCTTGATATCTCATTATTTGTATTTTGAAGTCACAGGAAAATCTGAAGCAATAAATATCATAATAGGGCCTTTGTCTCCCATGCGCCAGTGAAGCCCTTTGAGGTGAGGGTGCACGTCACAAGAGCAGTGAGAGCAGTGCCTGTGTTTCTAATTATCGTTTCAACCATGGGTAACATGTATGAGCTCAGGTTTCATGGGTCACAACTTTATGTTGCTATTGAAGAGACATTTAGTGCTGCAGGAAAACATTTACTTCAGCGTCTTATTTTGTTCATAAGTAAATTTCTGTCATTAATGCATGCTCGTCTTAAAGTTTTTTTATTTTATTTTCACAAGTTTTGAATGTTATTAAACCTGGTATTGAGGTGCTTTACATAAGCAGTCTTTTGTTTGCTCATGTTTTAGCTGTGTTGGCTGAGCTCCTAAATCCATTATGGCAGGCAACCAGAAAACAGCATGACAGTGATGGGAACTGTACCACCCTGCCAAATGCAGAAAGCACAGAGCATCTGTATGATATGGAAACTGCTGGCCATCTGTTAATGTGCTCAGCAACTGCTCTGAAATGGTGCAAGTTTGGGGAAGAGTCCTGGGTGGGGCAGAAGAGATTTATCTCAATGCTTTTTAACACAGAGTACCACTGTATCTGCACATACGTTTGGTTATGCTTACTTACACGCTTACTCACTCACTGAAACATGCACAAATGAGTCATTTAAAAGGGTCATATGATGTTGCTAAAAAGAACATTATTTTAAAGTAGTTTCACTTTCACAACGAAACACACTGTGGGCTAGAGTGAGCAGAGGCCGGCGGCCTAGAGTGAGCGGAGGCCAGAGGGCTAGAGTGAGCAGAGGCATGCGGCTAGAGTGAGCGGAGGCGGGCGGGCTTGAGAATGGCACGGCCGGAAGATTCGACGAAGGAGCGGTTGGTGGGCTTGCGGCAACCACATATGACGACCCCAGGCTGGACTCTGCTTTGTCCACGGTGAAAGCCAATCCGGCAATCCACAGCGCGAAGTTGATGTATTCCCTCAGTGACCAGCACGGATCAGCTCTAGGCATGACGAAGCTGATATCGTCCTCTTTTGGAAGGCCAAACAAAGTAGTTTTGCTTTCACAACGAAACACACAGCGCCTTCACGACATGGCGGCAGCAACAATACTACAGTGAGAATAAAAGTTACGCCTTCTTTCTTTGCGTGAACATTTGGGCAGCGTTATGCAAATCTTCCCACATAGTGACGTAGATATGTGAGGGCGTGTTTTGGGACGAGCCGTTTTAGGTAGGCGTGGTTGACTCCTAACTTTTATAAAGAATATCTCTTTAGATTTGAGACTTTAGTCTTTGCAACTTTACAGATCTTCTTTATGCACCAAGAGCTTGTAACACTTCAACGAGAAAGGAAAAATTGAAATCGCATCATATGACCCCTTTAATAACTGTACTGGTGCAATAGGAACCCTGTATGTTATGAGGGAAAGCTACATGATTTTCCTCCACTGTTGGCCCTGCCTACACACACACACACACTTGAGTAGAGTACCTTGTTTGTTTTGGGAGCTTTCCCACTGCAAAGCACCATGCAGTATATCAAATCGGGATCTTTTGCCATTGCTTATCAAGATTAATCTGTGCACAGAGGCAATTTAACCATAAGAAGACCCATGCTTCTAAGGGAAACGGGATCAATCTGGAGGGTTTAAAAGAATAGATCACCTACATGTTGCTGACGTGTAATTATTATTCCTTAATCATTGCAGAAAGAAATAACGTGAGAAGTGAGACTATAATTGTAAGCCTTCAGACTTTATTTTTGAGACAAGATTTCTCATTCAGTGTAATGTTTCTACATTCGCTTGATCTTTTACCTTCTGTGTGCCCTGTGTTACTGACTTAAAAGGCCTAGTTCACCCAAAAATGACAAATCCAAAATATTTCTGTCCCTCTATTGAAAGTCTATTCCACCAAAACGTTGATGCTTAAAAAAGTTAATGAAGAGATTAAAAAGAATAAAATCCATATGAATGGAGCAGTTTAATCAGGTTTTCTGAAGAGACACAATTGATGAACCAATTTAGTTTATAGGCTTTATTAACATATAAACATTGATGAAGGCACATTAATAGAATGATTAATTTCTATTATTTATGACAGAATGTTCATTTTTGTCAAGTATCCCAAAAAGTATCTTTAAAAACTACTCATTTTACATTTTCATATTTTATATATTTTTAATAGTTAATATTTTGACCAAGCTCTTGATCATAAAAGCACATCTAAAAGTGGTTCATATCACTCATGTACTCAACCTTCTGAAGCCTATAGTGCGTTTTAAATCATGGCGGGTTAGGGCGGTTTCGTACGCGTATGGCCAATCAATGTCTACTTACGTCACGATTAGTACCAGTTGTGCTGGTTAGACCCTGCTCCGGAGTAGGAGCTAATTTGGTTCTCGAAAAAGGCAGTCCGGTACTAAAATCGCACCCAGTTCCAGCGGTGCGAAAATGCCAAAAAGTGGGTAGTTCCACAATTAGTTCTGGTACTATGAAAAGGTTCCCGCGGTGCGAAAGGCCCTTATGATAGCTCTGTGTGAGGAACAGACTGAAATTTTTGTGTTTTAAGTATTTGCTAAAAATCATAAAAATGATAGCCCCGTCCACCATTCACTTTCATTGAATGGAAAAGAGCATCTGGGACATTATGTTATAAATTTCTCATTTTATGTTTCATGAAAGAAAAAAAAAGTCATATGAGGGTGAGTAATTGATTTTTTAGTGAACTTTTCCTTCAGTGTGAGATTTAACATACGTCATCTATTAAACACTGGGAAGATTGTTTGGTAGGTGTTGCTGTAAAAGCTTGTGTTTTTATTGTGTTGCCATCACTAGGCAAGAATTAGGGGCATTTCAAGAGTAAAAATTAGTTCTTGGTGAAGTCTACTGAACAAACCCGAATGAATTGCATGGTTAAACGTACCATAAATGTTCCAGATGTGCACTATGGCTTATAGCCACATACCGTACAGTACAACCAGACATGGTTTCAACTCCCTAGCCTAACTTTCATAATGAAATAGAGCAGAAGGATATTTAGGCCAGGCTTAAGCTCTACACTTTTTGTCTTTAATAGAGATAAAATCCTTTTATTGGTTATATATCCTGAATTCCTTTGTTCACTGGATTTAACAGGACATTTAAAGATCTGTATAGCATCTTTTAAAGCTTTTGTACTCTTTTGCCATTGTACACTAGTCATTCAAAGATTTCAGCAGTGAATTTTACCAGCTTAACAACCAAAAACTACACCGTGTTACACTTTTAGCCAAAATGAAAATGTCCTCAATTTCCTGAATTAACCAGTAAAGAGAAAGCAATCAAATTGCCCACACTTCATAACCACAATTATTATTTCAGTAAATTGGTTATTTTGTCTTTAAGCATTTGGAACAAAATAATAAGCAACTCATGACTTCATCTGGGGTAATCAAACATTAGTAAGTGTTTAAGACCCACATTATTACCATTCAGTACGCAAGTGAAAACCCATGAAACATAAATGAAAATGAGTCATCCTCGCTGAGGTGATATTTCCAGTCAGTCGTGTTCCGATCCAGAGACCCTTCCTCATTTTCCATAGTTTTTGTGTAAATCAGTCACTGTGATGGTTTTGGCATAATGGTGGGGAACATATGACTCGATGGAGCTTTAGTCTACACGACGGGGCCCTGTGGGGATGGAGGGTGCCTCACCTACAATCTGTAAATCACAGCTGAAATAGCTGTGATGGAGGCTTAAAACATCATCTGTGTTGAACAGGTTACTCACTTTCACCATCACTCCATTGGGACCACTAAGAAAACATCCTGACAGACCACACATTCTCCTTCCACATCCTCATCCTATCTCTCCTATGATAATGAGGTGTTTTTAGCATCCAGACATACTTTTGTTTAGGTGAAGTGGGTCATATCTTTACCACATCCCTACCTTATCAATACAAGCCTCCATTAAGTAATCTGAAAAGGGGGTTACGCTAGATGAAGAAGAGGTTTCAAGAGGAACCATGGAGAGGGGCAGATGGGAGGGTGGGTATTTGTTGGATTTCTTGGTTGATCATAAATCTGTCTGGCAGGCTTTAACATAAAATAACATAAAATGAAAATTGCACTGCACTAGACATGTATCACAAGCAGGTGGACAGGCTGTGTAATTCAGCATTTGGAGAGCATATGAATGATGTTCAGTGTTTTGTATCAATATATTCTTAGTGAGGAGTCCATTGTTCCCAGTGAGACATGATTGCTATCGAACAGATTTGCTTTGAAAAGCCTAAACTACATGTTGAGAATGATATTTAAAGTGGTTTCCTGATGCAAATTCACTATTAGATAAGGTGCATAAGTACCTATAAAAAGGTAATCCAGCAAACATTTGAAGTGCCTAAATTGTATTTAAACCAACATATTGTGTCACATAGTCCTTTATTGGGTTTAAAAAATAATATTTCCAGTCTTTGAAGTTCCCTTTTCTCATTTTAAAGACATTCTTAAATAATTACTGCTAGCCATAATGTAGCTAGCACAAACAACACATTGTAGTCCACACATCTCTCTTAAATCTAAACGGAGAGCCATGCATGGCAGAAAGGGAAGCTGTTCTTAAATGAGGCAGTCCACGCACACACACACACAAGTAGGGTGATGGGCTTCATCTCTCTCTAAGGGGAGGGGGAGTGGCCACAATTGGCCAAGGCTTCAATATAAGCCTTTTGTATGGACCTCTGCGGAGCCCAATCTTTCTTGTGGCACAACTACCAACACCTACACCTCTTCATCGACAACAGCGGGAAGAAAGTATTTTTCCACACTCACCAGATTTATCACCTGATTGCGTTTTTTTCTTTCCCCCCATTTTTTGTTCATTTGCTTTTTCAGTCAAGAGGCCTTTAGGCTAAGAACAAAAAAGACAAGATGATCACTCTCTTTTCCTTTGCATTGGTGGTCTGTGCAAGCAGTCTACATGCCGAAGCACAAGGTAAGAACCACTTTTGATCCCTTCATGCATGAATGAATGAATGAATGAATGAAATTACGGTTCAGCTTGCACGTTTCTGTGTCTGTGCATATGAGAGTGTGGTAGATGAATGTAATACTGAAAAACTGCACAGCATAAATTGTAAAAAGTTGGTTATTTATTAAATCATCAGATGCTTAAGAGGATGAGGAATAAGACAAAAAATGATTTACCATGGTTGAACCTAATTTCCTCAATGCTATCACGTTGACGATGCAGACACAATGAACCAGATTTTAATTGTAATATTCCACTATTCATCTCTAAAAGACTCCTCCCACTATACACATGAACACACACCCACAGAGATTCAGCTCACCACAGTATTTCATAAGCTCTCAACCATCTGCTGCAAGGTAATTTAGCAGATGTTTAACAGTTGTTGACAGATAGTGGGGATTGTGAACCATCACCGAATAGACTGTGTAAAGTGGCTCTGCTGTTCACATCTGAGTGCAGATCTAATACATTTCCTTGAGGGTAAATGCGAGATTGGCTTCTGATGGCCAGTGATGTCAGGAGCATATTGGTACCTGAAGATACATGCAGTGGACCTTTTTATTCCCAGTATGCAACTGTATGGGCGTTGCCAAATCCTCTGAATTTACACTGATGGTACTGAATGTATGTATCTGGCAGGAGCTACAGCAAGATTAACAGCCCCTGAAAATGTAAGGAGCCCCTTACTGAATGCAGTCCTTTTCATTCTAAGATAATGGTCTGTAAAGTGATGGGTTTGCATGGATTGGGTTAGGCTGGGGCTGATGGAGAAGAAGTGGGGACTGGAGGAAGGAGTGAAAGTTTTATATGGTTTTGGGCTCTTAGATACTGCTCAAGATGGGCCCGATTCATAGAAGCTCTGTTCAAGATATAATGCAGCCATTAGTCAGGCATGGTTGAGTAGGGGGTGTGTGAAAAAGAAAGAGGATGGCTTTGTGTGTGATGGGTGAGAGAGAGAGAGAGAGAGAGAGACCCTACATATTATTAATGCATGAGGATGGTTACGATAGAGGGAGTGCCGTCCAGCTGTGTGCAATATTTCATGTTCATGCCTCATACTGACCTCTGCTTGCTCAGCAAAGTGAAGTTTATCCATCAAGACTGTCATACTGGGAGGGAACGATTCCATATGACACTTTTATACACAGACATGAAGCCCTAATCAGTGTGTTTGCATGCATTTAGAGTTGTGTACCTCACACAGAGCATCATTTTGTGTAAAGGGCTCCAACCCAACGTTTTATGCAGCAGATGTGTTCAAGATGCCAATGGGGCCCAAACGTGTATTAAATGGCTATGTTGAATTAATGTTTCATGTAAATTTATAGCATCCTCTCTGTTTATGTTTCAGTTTACAAATGTGTCTGATGACTTTTTTTTTTTCTTACTGCTTGAATGATCATTTGGAGTCTTTTCTTTTTATATATTTTTATATATGACAAGCATTGATTTTATTCATATATGTTAATTTCGTCATTTTAATATGTTTTTCTTACAAAAATGTACCTTTTTTCTAAATGATTTTTATTGAATTAACAATTAATATTATTCAAAATATATATTAATTATTGCCATTTGTTTTAATTATTTTAAAATGTTTTATTTATTATTATAAAAATGTATATTATTACTACATTATCAGGACCCCTGCAGTCATGATTATGCAAGTTTTAATAACATTCTCAATTACAGTTTTTGTAATCAATCAATCAATCAATATGTCCTTTTATGTTTAAATATTTATCCTGTCTTAAACCAAATTGTTGAGTTCTTAAATGGTGGGAAAGAGGCACTTTTAAATATTTAAACCGCCTCCATTCTGACGTTCAAGAGTAAACACTTTCCTTGTGTTTGCTTACAAGAGCAGGGTGGGTGGAGATGGGGGATGGGGGTCTCATGGGGACTGGTGGGAGTCGTGTATATGGAGAACATTATCAGGTAGTGGGTTTGGGGTGATATTTGAGAGTTGTGTAACATTTTTGCAAAATCTCACCTACAATGATGTACATGTATTTTGCCGACAAAGAGATATGGAGACCAAATCCAAAAAGCCTAGTTATGAATTTTGTCATCTGTTCCTTCTGGTTCCAGTTTGTAACTTTGGCACACTGTCTCCTACATGAGATATTATTAGGAAGAAAGTGAGAGAGTGCATGACTCACAGTGTAAAGTATATGGAGAACATTATCAGGTAGTGGGTTTGGGGTGATATTTGAGAGTTGTGTAACATTTTTGCTAAATCTCACCTACAATGATGTACATGTATTTTGCCGACAAAGAGATATGCTTTTGGTTTCTGTACCCAATATTTAAAAAATTTACAAATGTAATAAAAATATAGGTATCGGCATCGGTATCGGCAAGTACCAAAAATAAAAGTATCGGTATCGGGCGAGTACTGGAAAAAGTGGTATCGGTGCATCCCTAATGGAGACCAAATCCAAAAAGCCTAGTTATGAATTTTGTCATCTGTTCCTTCTGGTTCCAGTTTGTAACTTTGGCACACTGTCTCCTACATGAGATATTATTAGGAAGAAAGTGAGAGAGTGCATGACTCACAGTGTAAAGTGTAAAAAGGGATCAGATGTGGGGTGTTAATGAGTGTAAGGGCTCAGTTTTAATTACTTCTAGAAAAAGAGGAAACTCTCTCATCATCTGGTCATAATGTGAATGATGTGCTGTAATTAAAAGTGGAAACAGTATAGTTTAACATGGCTTCTGATCCATTAAACAATCAGATGTTAAGCCCATGTATACTCATTCTGAGCACAGTTTAAACACGTTACTATATCTGGAAAGGTTCCAGCTCAGCTGAGTGAGAAGTAATAGTAGACTAAGTTAAGGCAAGCAGAGGGTAGAAAGTCTTGAGTGCCTGCTAATGAGTCCCATATTTGTTTCAAACATGTGGGAAAGGTTTTCCTCCGGATACACTGCATTGGAATGTTAATGTTAGTTGTAGAACATGCTGGTCAGAAGCACAAATGCCTGAGGCTGTCAGAACTAAGGCTAAGAACTGCTCTGCGGAAGTCACAGGCTGGAAGACAATGTGATTGAAGATACTGTACATAAACTTCCACTTCGTGGTAAAACTAAAGATTGTCTAGAGAAATTGAGAAACAGAATGGATTCTTTGAAAGTTGTAATGTTTTTGGTAACACTTTACAATAATGGTTTAATACATTGAAATTAATGCATTAGATATCATGAATTAAGACAGAGAAGTCGCTTATGCTGACCAAGGCTGCATTTTTCATCAAAAATACAGTAAAAACAGTAATATTGTGAAATACTACAAATATGAGTGTTACCAAAAAAACATTACAACTTTAAAATAATCCCATCATTCTGTTTCTCAGTTTCTCTAGACAATTTTTAATTTTACCAAGCTCTTCAGAGAGTGTTGAGAACAGCTGAGCTCATTACTGGTCATAAACTCCTGGCCTTAAAGGACATTTCCCAGACCCCCTGCTTGAGAAAGGCCCGCAGCATCATCAAGGACTGCACTCACCCTGCTCACCACCTGTTTGCTTCAATACTGTCCGGATCTGATCACGGACAACCAGGCTGAAGAACAGCTTTTACAGTGTTGGGAAGTAACTAGTTACATGTAACGGAATTACATAATTTAATTACAAAATAAAAGTAATTGTAATCAGTTACAGTTACTAAGAAAAAATGTGTAATTAAATGAGTTACTTATGAACATGTTAAGGATTACAAAGGGGGTTACATCTGATTTTTTTTCACACACACTCCCACATACATTGATTTCTTTCATAAATTGCAGTAACTGCAGTAAAATATGAAACACCAATGTTTCAGGAGTTTAGAATATGCTTATTTTATAACTCTTTTTATTTCCTTTATGGGTTTATGTAGCTATGCTTCATTTTTTAAGATGAACTGTTTTCTCCAAGGCATTGTTAGATTCCAGACAGTGTTTCCTGTCATAGGATTTACAAATATTTGATTTCAAAAACAGTATCATAGCTAATAAAATATTTCTTGTTATGATTTTAAATATGCATTTAACCTCAGAATGATTTTAAAGTAAGTCTGATTTTGTGGTGGCTGTGCTTCAAAGGGGACATCGGATGCCCATCTTCCACAAGTTGGTATGATTATTTAGGGTTTTCATTAAGGTCTGCAACATACTTTGGTTCAAATTCCTCACAACACCCTTTTTTTACCTTGCTCTGTTTACATCGGCTTGTTTCGGGGCATGTCCCTTTAAATGCTAATGAGCTCTGCTCACCGCCCCTTTCTTCTGTCAAAGAGCAAAGGCGATTTGCAAATAATCATAAAAAAAACATGCCTTAAATTGTCCCTCATTCAGAAAGCAGTCTGGAGTAAAATTACTTGCGCAGACATAAATGAATTTAGGTGTATTCGGTGGTGCATTACCAGCAAAAACAAAACTAATGCACTGCGTCCTCAGTGGCTCTGATGTCAGGAAAAAAATAACACTCTTACGTTCTTCTACATCACAAAACCACAAAACACCTGCATCGCTTACAAGACATTGTCGCTACAGCTGCTTGAGCGCGGAGAGAATGATGGACTTCGTACAACTGGCTGAGGGCGAAAATATGCTAATACGGGACAGTACGTCAGCGGTCGTGGGAGGGGCCTGAGCAAATATGACATCATACTGCTCAGAAAATCAAAACGGCTGGGTAATTGTGAATGTTTAGGTTTTGGGGGGATTAAAAAAAAAAGGAGTGAATGGATTTTTATCATTGGGTAAATTAATTAACAGTGCATTGAAGGAAACAAAATAACTAATAAACGATTAACAATTTTTGTTGTTGTTGTACTGGTACAACAGCTGCATCACATTTACTAAATCTATATAATTTATGCATAGTATCTAACAAATAATTAATTAATTTATAGGGTGGTTGTGTCCACACACTGCTAAGATACATTTATGCAAACCATGTAAAAGTGAATTTTGCATCCAATGTCTCCTTTAAAATGTAAATATTATAATCTTAATTCAAGTGATGAAGTATTTCGAAAGTCTGACAGGAATCAGTGTTCACAGTTGAGTACTACTGTAAGATTAACCCTGCCTGGTTTATGTTTGAAAATGATTAACAGTTGAAAACATTAGAAATTTAGAAAAAGTAATCAAAAAGTAATCAAATGTAATCAGTTACATTACTTTAATAAAGTAATTGAAAAGTTACACTACTTATTACATTTTAAGTAGGGTAACTTGTAATCTGTAACCTATTACATTTCCAAAGTAACCTTCCCAACACTGAGCTTTTATCTTCAAGCCATCAGACTTCTTAACAGCCAGTAGTCCTTCATCCAACTCTGCAACTTCTGACACATAATAACTGCCACTTTTAACAATTGACACTGTGACATCTGTGATTTGTTTTCCCTTTTTTTCTTGTATTTGTTGTACTGTGTTAATGTATTTGTTACTGCTGCCTTTGTATTTATTATCTCAGTACTCTTACTAAGGACTCTCATATATTTGTTTACTGCCACTTATTTATATTGTACTTATTTATTGTCTTGCCTACAAAATAGCACATGCCACTTTGATATGCCAATGCCCTCCACCTGTCCGTGCCTAATCGTATATGGTATATGGCTGTTAAAATTACTGTAATTCTGAGCCTCGTCACAAGCATTTCAATGTCCAGTTCCCCAGTGTAACTGTGCAAATGACAAATAAATGCCTCTTGACTATTATTGCGGTTTAAAATAAGTGTTGTCTATTTTAAATATATTTAAAATGTAATTTATTCATGGGATGGCAAAGCTGAATTTTCAGCAGCCATTACTCCAGTCTTCAGTGTCACATGAGCCTTCAAAAACCACTGTTATATACTGATTTGGTGCTCAAGAAACATTTCTTATTATTATCACAGTTGAAAACAGTTGTGCTGCTTAATATTTTTGTGGAAACCATGATACAGTTTTTTGATTAATAGAAAGTTCAAAAGAACAGCATTTATTTGAAATAGAAATCTTTTGTAACGTTATAGATGTCTTTACTGTCATCTTTGATCAATTTATTATTCAAGTGATGAAGGATTTTGAAAGTCTGGCAGTGATCAGTGTTGAGTACTACTGTAAGATTAACCCTGCCTGGTTTATGTTTGAAAATGATTAACAGTTGAAAACATTAGAAATTTAGAAAAAGTAATCAAAAAGTAATCAAATGTAATCAGTTACATTACTTTAATAAAGTAATTGAAAAGTTACACTACTTATTACATTTTAAGTAGGGTAACTTGTAATCTGTAACCTATTACATTTCCAAAGTAACCTTCCCAACACTGAGCTTTTATCTTCAAGCCATCAGGCTTCTTAACAGCCAGTAGTCCTTCATCCAACTCTGCAACTTCTGACACATAATAACTGCCACTTTTAACAATTGACACTGTGACATCTGTGATTTGTTTTCCCTTTTTTTCTTGTATTTGTTGTACTGTGTTAATGTATTTGTTACTGCTGCCTTTGTATTTATTATCTCAGTACTCTTACTAAGGACTCTCATATATTTGTTTACTGCCACTTATTTATATTGTACTTATTTATTGTCTTGCCTACAAAATAGCACATGCCACTTTGATATGCCAATGCCCTCCACCTGTCCGTGCCTAATCGTATATGGTATATGGCTGTTAAAATTACTGTAATTCTGAGCCTCGTCACAAGCATTTCAATGTCCAGTTCCCCAGTGTAACTGTGCAAATGACAAATAAATGCCTCTTGACTATTATTGCGGTTTAAAATAAGTGTTGTCTATTTTAAATATATTTAAAATGTAATTTATTCATGGGATGGCAAAGCTGAATTTTCAGCAGCCATTACTCCAGTCTTCAGTGTCACATGAGCCTTCAAAAACCACTGTTATATACTGATTTGGTGCTCAAGAAACATTTCTTATTATTATCACAGTTGAAAACAGTTGTGCTGCTTAATATTTTTGTGGAAACCATGATACAGTTTTTTGATTAATAGAAAGTTCAAAAGAACAGCATTTATTTGAAATAGAAATCTTTTGTAACGTTATAGATGTCTTTACTGTCATCTTTGATCAATTTATTGTGTCCTTGCTGTACAACAGTATTCTTTTCCAAAACAAAAAATGATTTTGAATGCTTTGAATAATTTGGCAAAATGTATTTGTAGACATTTCAAACCATCGGGAAAATGAGAGACTGAATGGTGCCTTAAGCTAAATCTAATCATGTCTGCTGTGTAATCGACACTTTGATGGTGGGGTATAGCCAGCCAGGAGAACTCTTGGGTCGGTTTTAGTTTCCCTGATATCCATCAAATGTTCCATCGAGAGCTGTGATGGATTGGGGCCTCCAAGACTCAAATAGAGATCAGGAAACATCTTAAGGGACTGGATGAGACAATTATGCCCCTAACCACAAGCAGACATAGCAACTACTAGACTACCAGAGATATAGACACAACATCTGTGAGCAAAAAGTTGAGCTTTATGGGGGGAATATCCGTCTTCATTGAAACAAAATAGGAGAAGGATGTCTGTGGGTCCCACGTGTATGTACAAGCACACCATCTGATTCCAGTGAATCATAATTAGATTATTTCTTTGGCTAAGATTTGTGTGGCACTGTGTTTTTCTTTTGCGAAAACTGTAGGCTTCTTCAAAACATTAAGACAAAATATATGGATAGCCATTAAATCAAACCAAATGGTAGTTTGTAACATTATAGATGTCTTTACTGTCATCTTTGATCAATTTATTGTGTCCTTGCTGTACAACAGTATTCTTTTCCAAAACAAAAAATGATTTTGAATGCTTTGAATAATTTGGCAAAATGTATTTGTAGACATTTCAAACCATCGGGAAAATGAGAGACTGAATGGTGCCTTAAGCTAAATCTAATCATGTCTGCTGTGTAATCGACACTTTGATGGTGGGGTATAGCCAGCCAGAAGAACTCTTGGGTCGGTTTTAGCTTCCCTGATATCTATCAAATGTTCCATCGAGAGCTGTGATGGATTGGGGCCTCCAAGACTCAAATAGAGATCTGGAAACATCTTAAGGGACTGGATGAGACAATTATGCCCCTAACCACAAGCAGACATAGCAACTACTAGACTACCAGAGATATAGACACAACATCTGTGAGCAAAAAGTTGAGCTTTATGGGGGGAATATCCGTCTTCATTGACACAAAATAGGAGAAGGATGTCTGTGGGTCCCATGTGTATGTACAAGCACACCATCTGATTCCAGTGAATCATAATTAGATTATTTCTTTGGCTAAGATTTGTGTGGCACTGTGTTTTTCTTTTGCGAAAACTGTAGGCTTCTTCAAAACATTAAGACAAAATATATGGATAGCCATTAAATCAAACCAAATGGTAGGAAATTAGTTTAATATAACTCAGTGTAATTACATCTTGAGTCAAGTCAAGTAATAATAATAAAAAAAAGTAACTAAACTCTAAAGTCTTGTATCCTGTCCTTGTAAATCTAAAATAAAATAAATATAGTAGACCTTCTGTGAACTAAGGCTTTTCTTTTTGTTTTATTTCAGATGGTGGATCAAGAACCAAGGTCTACGCCAACCTAGGTGACAATATCACTCTGCCCTGCAGACTGGAAGGTCAGTCCAGTTTGTTCGGGAACAGAATCAAGTGGGCCAAACTTGAGGATGACTCTTCAGAAACCAATGTGCTCATCTCCATGGGGGCCCACAAGAAGACCTATGGAAATTTCCAGAACCGCGTTTACCTGTTGGAGGTGGATGACAATGATGCTACCTTGGTTATTACAGACCTAGATCTTAACGACTATGGCACATACAGCTGCGAGATCATCAACGGCATGAATGACAAGATTGTTGAAGTGGACCTTGAATTGCAAGGTAACTTTATTATTTCATGATGTCATATAAGTTATCATTTCACTGTAACATGTATATTTATTCATTTAGCAGGCTCTTCTCCTCCAAAGTCACTTACTAATGAAAATTAAACATAATAAACAGCCAAATGGAGATAAAACAGTAGAGATTTTCCATATGTCTCTGTAGTGGCATATATGCACTGCAACACATTGCCATTGCTGTATAAACATATTTCATTCACTCTCTACACCCTCTTCATAAGTCATATTTGAGCTGTTCATTTCAGTAAATAGTCTTCAACATTAGCACTTGAAATGTGAAGACACTCTCGTACTCTTCTTTCAACACTTGTTTTTGCCACTTATCATTTGCTCATTCTCCATTAATATCCTGTAGTTCTTGCTCTTGGCCATGACCACCATTGCAGACTTGGCTCCAGAGAAACAAATGGGATCTTTACACAGAGAAGTGAGGTGCATGAGCATAATGAAACAGGCTGTCACAACTAGCCATTGTTAACTTTGGAACAATGGAGTCTAAGATTGAAAAGCCAAAGCCCTGCAAGTAATTTTCTCTCTGATTTTTTTTTTCTCTTTAAAGAGAGAAATAAAATTTTAAACATAAATTTTTTTTATGTACCACATAAAACTTTTCAACTAAGCAGGGAGGCTCTTAGAAAACTAAAGCTAAGGCTTTCACTGATATCGCTCTTATTCATTCATTGGGGTGAAAAAAATATGTTCATCAAAACAGCCCTTATGTTATACTCAGTTGAACTTTTCCTTAGGGGAAGATTCATTTTCTTTCACAGGGGTTGTTTTCCCATACTCCCCTCGTCTGGGGCGGTACAACCTCAACTTCCAAGATGCTGAGACCGCATGTCTGGAGCAGGACGCTGTGGTCGCCTCCTTCGAGCAGCTCTATGGGGAATGGAGAAATGGGATGGATTGGTGCAATGCTGGCTGGCTCAATGACGGAACCGTGAAGTACCCCATCACCAAACCCAGAGAGCCCTGCGGAGGCGTGAGGACCTCAGCTGGACTGAGAAACTATGGCCGACGGGACAAGTCCAACAGCCGTTATGACGTGTTCTGCTTCACAGCCAGCCTTAAAGGTGAGTTCATCAATTCAATTCTAGTATAAAATGGAGCATATCATTTAGTAGTGTCTGTGTCCACAACCATGAAACTCTTTGTTTTACATCACAGGACGCTTTTACTATCTGATCCAGCCCAAGAAGCTGAACTTTGATGAGGCCGTTAACACGTGTAAGAGAGATGGAGCTGAGATCGCAAAGGTGGGCCATATATATGCTGCCTGGAAACTGCAGGGATACGACCGCTGTGATGCCGGTTGGCTGGCTGACGGTAGCGTTCGTTATCCGATCTCCAGGCCTAGGAAGAACTGCAGTCCCACAGAGGCTGCGGTTCGCTTTGTTGGCTTCCCCGATAAAAAGCAGAAGCTGTATGGTGTCTACTGCTATAAACCTCAGCCGTGAAGCTCTTCACGTCACATCACCAGCCAAAGAGCAACAATACACAGGTTTCCACTTCCACACTTATGAAGGACTTTTTGCATGAACTAGCCATAACTGTGACAATTATAGAGAGGATACTGTAAAGACCACACATTCTCAATATTAACGTAAACAGTTATTTTATCTACCATATACATTTTATATAGATTGTACACCACATGTATGCACAACAAATTGCATTCAGAAAGGATATTCAGCTGGAAGGAAATTTGAAGTCACAGCATGTTGATCAAATCCCCTTTTAGTAGGTTAAGTGTGAGTTTGTCAAAAATCTCCATTGTGATATTGCAATAAAATATTTAAATATTACTAAATAGTATAAACTTGACAGAAAGTTTTTGAAACTTGCCCAAACAGAAAAGCAAAGGCATCGTAAATGGACCTGACACCTTTCTTTTTCTAAAACACTTTTGTGATCTTACTCAAATGCTAATTTCTTGGTGTATTAATTAATGTTCTGAACTGTGATCTTATTTTATCTGTTGAAATATAAAATGAATGTGTTTGGCCTGTTGTGTTACAAGGTTTTATATTCATAACTAATTATATTGTTTAATTGTAACACTCATTCCTCATGTCTACTCTTTGTTTGAAATATTGTGATGTATTTTCTTACCTATCTAATCATGAGAAGCTTGTTATTTTTCAGTTCTTATCTTTGATGGCCTTGAAGTTTTTAAAAACTGTTTAAATGTGTCTGTCCCTGCATAGATTTTGACAAGTATTTCATCACAAACAGTAACAGAATTTGACAGACTGCTAATGATGAATTTAACTTTGTTATATGGCAGAGAACTACAAAGATAATTTACACTGAGCGATTATTTTAGGACCCAGTTGTATATTCAACTAACTTCAAGACTAACTTGAGCCTGCTTAAGTGTAGATATGAATAAGTCTAATATTGTAATGCTGTGAGAAAGAGGTACAGCACTAAAAGCCATGTACAACATCATGCCTAAGTTTGATTCTAACAGTAACCTTGGAATGTTGTGACAGGCATAGTGTGGACGACTTTAGATAATGAGATCTGTTTACTGATGAACGAAACATCTATTACTTGCCACTTTGTAATGATATATGTTGTTTATGAGAGGGGAAAAGATTCTCCACTTAATAACTCCACAGTGCACATAAGTGACATTTTGCTTGATTTTGTCTTTTTTTTTATGCACAAAATTTCTTTTTTTGAAAAATCTGAAATGCATTGTATGGTTTATGAATCAAAGCACATTTTAAATGAAAAATAAAAACCCATTAAAACATGAAATGGCTTTTGTTTTACTCTCCAGTATGCTGTGATAATTCTACAGTGTCTATAACTATGGATTTTGAAGGCCCAGAAGCTGAGAACACAGTGTTCATTGTAGTATGAATGCCAGCTTGGCTAGGCATGGCCTAAATTTCCCAACACATACTATTAAATTAAATTGAAATAAACTGATTGCATAGTATCTACTATTGCTTTTGATAACATAGAGTTATTATCATGTTACAGATATTTTGTATCTAAACCATTATGCATTTCCATCATTGTAATGAATTAATGATAGATAATTCCTATATGTGTGTGTGTGTGTGTGCGTGCGTGCGTGCGTGTGTGCGTGCGTATGAGGTTATTGTTATGGTTTATGAATCAAAGCACATTTTAAATGAAAAATAAAAACCCATTAAAACATGAAATGGCTTTTGTTTTACTCTCCAGTATGCTGTGATAATTCTACAGTGTCTATAACTATGGATTTTGAAGGCCCAGAAGCTGAGAACACAGTGTTCATTGTAGTATGAATGCCAGCTTGGCTAGGCATGGCCTAAATTTCCCAACACATACTATTAAATTAAATTGAAATAAACTGATTGCATAGTATCTACTATTGCTTTTGAGAACAGAGAGTTATTATAATGTTACAGATATTTTGTATCTAAACCATTATGCATTTCCATCATTGTAATGAATTAATGATAGATAATTCCTATATGTGTGTGTGTGCGTGCATGCGTATGAGGTTATTGTTAGTTTATTTAGAGTAGCACTATCTCAACTATAGATCTATGAGAAGCTTTGGAAGCATTTGCAGAGAAAGCTTGCAACAATTATGCAATGTTCTGTGACTAATTCTGCCTTTTTTACATGTAAATTAATTCCAGTTGTTTAAAAACTAAATAAATAAAATAATTCTGCAATGGAAAATAGCAAAGTGTCTTCCAAGTCTTAAATGAGAAAACCATGAGTATTAACGAACAATGACACAGTGGTACCAGCAGGGAAATACATTCGTGTCAAATTAAAATATGGCAATGGGACTTCAAAAACACAAGGTGCATCAAAAGTGTCTCTGTTTTTCCTTCTACATTACACTGTGTGATGTATTTACAAAACTATAATCCACAAAGGTATGTAACTTGACAAGAGATTCCATGTTGTACACTAAGTGCAATATCTAAATGTAATTACAATACAAAACAAAATATCAAACCAAATGGTAACTTCCAGCAAATTATGCTAGATGTTCACTTTCTGCAGAACTAACAACCTTTTTGCAATAAGTTTTAAGCAACTGATCCCAAGGTCATAGTGGATGTATGGTCAATTCAAAAAGGTATTCTAGCATGAATGAACACAAGTGTACCTCATCACATTCGTTTCTAGCTGTCAGACTTAGTTTTCATTTTAAACTCTATATTTGTATCATTATAAAAAAAATTTTTTTTGAAACTTGAGCCTAGAAAATGTTTATTTTTATTTAGAAAAAATGCCTAGCTCAAGAACATTTTGGCACACAATACAACCCAAATAATTATGTCCCAAATCTATGTTTAGTGTTGTAGTACGCTGTCTTGGTCTTGAGACCAGTCCTAAGACCATTTTTTGAAGGTCTTGGTCTTGTCTCGGTCTCGACCGCATTTGTACTCTGTCTTGTCTTGGCCTTAGACTAAGAAGATTTGGGATTTTGTTTTAACCGGTCAAGAACACAACTATGGGGATATCACTAAATCACTACATTTATTTATAACCATAATTATTCTGACTGGATGTAAAACTTTCCGCTTCAAATGCAATCAATAACTAATTAAATAACTAAAGAACAATAATAAATAATTAGATTTATACCAGTGGATCTCAATGTTTGACTTCAAGGTCCCCCTATTGTTCACAACAATATTTGAAAGCCCCCCTCCACTCACCCAAATAATTTAGTATTTCTGTCAGGACCACTATCGTCAAAAATGATTGACAATTAGCATACAGTTTGGATTGACGGTATGGTTCTGTTCTGGGCAAGAACTCCCTGCGCATCCATGCAGCCTAGCATGGATGAGAGCAGGGAGAGCAGCGATAACCCCCCCTGGGTAAAGAGAACAGAACCAACATAAATGTATTGCAAATATCGTTAAAGTTCAATAATGTTATGTACACATTTTAGAATTAGTCTGATTCAAAGGAGAATCAGAAGGCTGAATCCTGACTGACAGAGGAGGAGTTGGGGATGGAGAAGGGTAATTAGCTATTGAGCAATGCGAAAACTGCTGATAATACTGAGGGACCTTATATATGAATGCTTAGATAGGTGTCGTATTCCTATAGGTAGATGGGGATCAGCTGAGAGTCAGCTGATGCGAGCTTGACTAACGTGACCTGCCAGAACTAACGCTATGCTAGATTTAGCATGACTAGAAAGATGTATAGGCCTATTCATTATAAAAAATAACCAAATATTAAGAAATATCTTAAATGTTTTGTTTTTGTTGTTTTAGTTTATCTTAATGATTGTTTTGTCTTATTTAAAATCACTTAAGGCACCTTTGGAAGTTTGTTGAGGCCCCCTAGTGGGCCCCAGCCCCCTGGCTGAGAACCAATGATTTATACTGTCATGCAGGGTCAGAATTAAATGTGGATCTTCCAGATGAATTTGAGTAGTGCTGGTCCGGTCTTGGTCTTGCCTTGGTCTCAACACACATTGGTCTTGGTCTCAACTTGGTCTCGTATTAGGTGGTCTTGACTACAAAACGATCCATGTTCTGAAGTTTAACTTTACCACTGAAACCATTAAAAGAAAAGAAAAAAAACAACCTCACAGGCTTGCTAAAAATGTTTGGTTATGTCCTTTTATCTATGTTTTCTTTAATTTCCTTTTCATCTAGAAACTAATTTTAAAAAATCAAAAATAGCCAAAGACAATTATAAGGTGTTTTCTATATTTAAAGGGTTTCACAGTAATTACAATTGGCATGGTATCATTAATGTTTTAGTGAAACTCAGTTTTGCAAAACATTATTTACAGTAATGGTATATCTGGTAGAATTATTCAGATGTTCAAATGTTCTTATGTTAGTGAACCGATACCATCTGGTGGTTAACATTAGGCAGTGCTGATGAACCACATACTTCAGTTACACTAAACATACAGTTCACTTACTCCTGTCACAGTCTATATTTTTGTATTGTTGTATAGATTAATCGTATATTATACACTCACCGGCCACTTTATTAGGTACACCTGTTCAATTGCTTGGTAACTCAAATTGCTAATCAGCCAATCACATGGCAGCAACTCAATGCATTTAGGCATCTAGATGTGGTGAAGACAACTTGCTGAAGTTCAAACCGAGCATCAGAATGGGGAAGAAAGGGGATTTAAGTGACTTTGAACGTGGAATGGTTGTTGGTGCCAGACGGGCTGGTCTGAGTATTTCAAAAACTGCTGATCTACTGGGATTTTCACGCACAACCATCTCTAGGGTTTACAGAGAATGGTCCGAAAAAGAGAAAATATCCAGTGAGCGGCAGTTATGTGGACGAAAATGCCTTGTTGATGTCAGAGGTCAAAGGAGAATGGGCAGACTGGTAAGAGATGATAGAAAGGCAACAGTAACTCAAATAACCACTCGTTACAACCAAGGTATGCAGAATACCATCTCTGAACGCACAACACGTCGAACCCTGAAGCAGATGGGCTACAGCAGCAGAAGACCACACCGGGTGCCGCTCCTGTCAGCTAAGAACAGGAAACAGAGGCTACAATTCGCACAGGCTCACCAAAATTGGACAATAGAAGATTGGAAAAATGTTGCCTGGTCTGATGAGTCTCGATTTCTGCTGCGACATTCAGATGGTAGGGTCAGAATTTGGCGTAAAGAACATGAAAGCATGGATCCATCCTGCCTTGTCTCAATGGTTCAGGCTGGTGGTGGTGGTGGTGGTGTAATGGTGTGGGGGATATTTTCTTGGCACACTTTGGGCCCCTTAGTACCAATTGAGCATCATTTAAACGCCACAGCCTACCTGAGTATTGTTGCTGACCATGTCCATCCCTTTATGACTACAGTGTACCCATCTTCTGATGGCTACTTCCAGCAGGATAATGCACCATGTCACAAAGCTCAAATCATCTCAGACTGGTTTCTTGAACATGACAATGAGTTCACTTTACTCAGATGGCCTCCACAGTCACCAGATCTCAATCCAATAGAGCACCTTTGGGATATGGTGGAACGGGAGATTCTCATCATGGATGTGCAGCCGACAAATCTGCAGCAACTGCGTGATGCTATCATGTCAATATGGACCAAAATCTCTGAGGAATGTTTCCAACACCTTGTTGAATCTATGCCACGAAGAATTAAGGCAGTTCTGAAGGCAAAAGGGGGTCCAACCCGGTACTAGCAAGGTGTACCTAATAAAGTGGCCAGTGAGTGTATATTAGATTTGTCCATTTAAAATTAAATCAAATACATCCCATATTGTTAATGTCTACCATTAAGCCCTTCCTATATGCCAAAACTCACTTCATATCAGAACCGAAAAAGACCAGGAATGCAAGTAGAATATAATAAACTTTGTTTACATAGAAGGCATAAAAACGTTCCTTACAATTGTTCCATTTCACA